TGATAGGTGCATATTTATTGCCATTTTGTTATTTGTATTTCTGATCTTCCTGGGTTAGCTTGTTTTCCCCTTTCTTCTGTTTAAAAGAGCCCTTTTAGCATTTCCTGCAATGCTGGCTTGGTGTAATGCATTCCTTAAGTTTATTCTTTTCTGAGAATCTCTTTGTCTCTCCTTCAATTTTAAGTGATAACCATGCTGGTTAGAGCAATCTTGGTTGTAGGCCTTTATTTTGTGTCACTTTGAATATTTCCTGCCACTCCCTTTTGGCATGCAGAGTTTGTGTGGAAAAGTCAGTGGTTAGTCTTATAGGAGTTCCTTTGTATGTAACCTGCTGTCTTTCTCTTGACGCTTTTAGGATCCTGTCTTTGTCTTTAACCCTTGCCATTTTTACTATGATGTGTCTTGGTGTGGACCTCTTTGGGTTAAGCTTGTTTGGAACTCTCTGCACTTCCTGGGCTTGTATGTCAATTTCCTTCACCTGGGTAGGGAAGTTCTCAGTCATTATTTCTTCAAATACATTCTCGATCCCTTGCTTCTTCTCTTCTCCTTCTTGTATTCCTATGATGTGAATGATGTTGTGCTTGATGTTGTCCCACAGGTCTCTTAAACTATTTTCATTGTTTTTTATTCTTTTTTTCTTTTTGTTGTTCCAACTGGGTGATTTTTGTTATTTTGTCTTCTATATCGCTGATCCAATCCTCTGCTTCATCTAATCTACTGGTGATTTCTTCGAGTAGTTCTTCATTTCAGTTATTGTAGTCTTTAGTTCTAACTGGTTGTTTTTTATGATTTCTGTATCCTTCTTTATGTCCTCCCTAAGTTCCTTAAAAATTCTTATCATTAGTGTTCTAAACTCCATCTCTGAAAGGTTGGATACCTCTGTTTCATTTAGTTCCATTTCTTGAGGTTTCTTCTGATCTTTGACTTGGGACTTGTTTCTATGTTTCTTCATTCTGGCGATCACTCTGATTGCTTTGATGTATTAGATCACCTAGAAAGAAAAAAAAGAAGAAAAAGAAAAAATAGAAAAAGAGGAGAAAAAAGGAAAAAGAAAAAAAAGGGAGGGGCTCTCCACCCATTTTAATCTGCAGACCACTTGCTCAGCAATAGAGAGACTCTGGGTGACTCAGCACCAGCTGTTGTGGGGAATGGCTCAGGGCATCCTGCGCCGACCTCCCTTTAGACTTGAAGTGAGCTTCCCAGAATTAGTTGCTGTGTGCTCTGGAACCGTGCTCACCACCAAAAATCCTCACAGGTTGTTGCGGGCTGTCTGCTGCTGCAAGAAACCCTGTGTGGCCTGTGGAGGTAGGGGCCAGGCAGCAGGGGCTCAGGGTGACCCTGACAACACAGCTCTCGGTGGGCGGGGCAGGCCCCCAAGGCACCACAGGGTGTGGTCAGTGGCCCCCACCAAGTCAGAGCAGCATGCACTCCTGCATCGGCAGCCAGCCCACACAAACTCGCCTGGAAAGCCCTGGCCGAATCACGCAGATGCATAGCTCGCGACCCTACACTCCCAGGAAAACTCCGTGTCTCAGCCTGTCCCAATCAGCTGCTTGCAGATCAGGCGAAGCAGCCCGATAGCCAATTGTTACCCAGGCAACTCTGCATGCGCTGTGCGGAAATCGGGGACCTAAGGCGAGTCACACACTTCCGAGTCTCAATAAGCAGTCTGTTGTAGTTGGAACGTGCCTGACAGGCATTTCCCTGACTACCCAGCACAAGCAGTGTGCAGGGTGGGGATCCAAGGCCACATGCGCATGCACGCACGCACACATGCACTCCTGCGCCAATTCCAGCAGACCAATGTAGTCCCAGACCTGAGCCTTTGTGGGAGGGCCCAGTGCTGAAAAAATGACGGGCCTCCTGTGCACTACTCGTATGCAAGCTCCACACCAGGGGAACAATGGTCCCAAAAACCTCCAGCTCCCACACCAAAGGCACTCATCTCAGTCCTTTTCACAGGCTCCTGGGCTCCGCTCACAAAGCCACTCCTTCCACCAGGAACCGGGTGAGTGCTCACCAGCGAATGAGTCGGTTTGCCGGCTCCACTGGTTCTCCAGCTGCCCTCACCGAGTTGAGCAAAGAGAGTCCTCACTATTTTCTACTTCCAGCTATCATAGAATTCCTCTTCCCGGCAACGTAGCTCTGGGGTGGTGAGCGTGGTGTGGGGTCGGAGGGTCTCGCCCCCAACCGGAGAAGCCTCCCCACCACTGAGGTGTCCCTCACAGGGTTCGCCCTCTGTCGTCTCTGCCCCTCCTACCGGACTTGAGTTGGCCTCCTCTTTAAGTCCTTCATTTAGAGGTTCCCTTCATCTAGGGTCCAGGGAACTACCGAGGTTGAATATCTTATAAATTATTTGTAATTTTGGTGTAATCCTGGGAGGCAGTCAGCACAGCATCTGTCTATTCCACCATCTTACCAGAAGTCAGTAAATACTTTTTCAATAAACTAATGAACAAATACACAACACAGAAGTGGTACCAAGGAAGAAGTTCAGGTGAGAGATGATGGGGCCTTAGATTAATGACAGTGGAGATAAAGAGAAGTGGGTACAATTTTGGGGGTACTTATATTGACTGTTTCTTACCACTGAGTTTTGAGTGTTCTTTATGTATTCTGGATACAAGTCCTTTCTCTGTTATATGACTTTCTAAGTATTTTCTCCCACCCTTTGGCTCCAACTTTCATTCTCTTAATGACATGTTTAGAAGAGTAGATATTTTTAATTCTGATAAAGTTCACTTTATATTTTTTTCTTTTATAAAGCATGCATTTGGTATCATACCTAAGAACTCTTTCCCTAACCTAGAGTCACAATTATGGTCTCCTTTGCTTTCTTCTAGAACGTTTATAGTTTTAAGTTTCATATATAGATCTATGACCTATTTTGAATTAGTTTTCATACATGGTATAGGGTAAGAGTCAAAGTTGGCTTTTTTTGTATATGGATATTCAATTGTTACACACCATTCAGCTCTAGAGGCTTTTCTGTAGATTACATCAAATTTTCTATATAGATATTCATGTCGTTTTCCAATACATACAGTTTTACTCCTTTCTTTTTTTTTAAAGTGGGAAGATTAGAGAAGAGCTTCGGAGGTAGAATTTTTTTATTTTTTTATAAATTTTATTGGGGAACAGTGTTTTTTTTCCAGGACCTGTCAAGTAGTTGTTCCAATCTAGTTGTGGAGGGCACTTTTCAGGACCCATCAGCTCCAAGTTCAAGTAGTTGTTTCAATCTGGTTGTGAAAGGCACAACTCAGTGGTCCATGTGGGGATCAAACAGGCAACCTTGGTGTTATGAGCACTGTGCTTTAACCACCTGAGCTAACCGGCCACCCCCAGAGGTAGAATTTTTAATAAAACCAACATGATGTTTTATTGTATATGTGGAGTGATAAAAAGAAGGAGGAGTAAATGGTTTCTGGCTTGCCAACTAGATTTGAGGCAGAGTTTTAGGCAGTGAGCACGTTAGACATAAAAAACAAAGTTGTTCTCCAAGCTCTCATGGTTTATTGGGGGATACAAATATATAAAAGAAATTAATGTGATATATAATCCCCAGAATAGAGGTGAGCATAGTGCAAATAACCCCGACTGGAGATTTAGGGAAGGGTTCCTTCTTGAGAGGATGCCTGAGTAAAACCTTAAAAGACATGAGAATGTATTATTATAAATTCAGAAAGGCTTGTTTACTGCACCAAGGAATGTTAAACGGTTTTTAAAGTTTATAAAGATGGGAGCCAAATGATCAGAATAATTCTGGAGGCAGAGTAGTTTTCAGATTTAAAAAACACCTTCTATGGACAAGACTATAGAACATATTCCAGGCCAGTGATGATGATATTTAGAACTAATGTAATGACTGGAGGAATCGAAGAAGAGAATGGTTCTGCAAGCTAAATTATGGACATAATTGCGTGTGATGAGAAAAGGAGGGAGTAAGCGTTAAATTTCTGGGTTTGGGGCTTGGATAATGTCCAAGTACATGAGCCTTAGGTTCAAACAAAACATCCTCCAAACCAAAGTTACTGCAGCCATCGAAAAATTAAATTAAGAAGAATCAAAATTAATGAATGAACTCAGCCATGAATGCAGATAAAAATAACACAAGAGATACCATGCCAATATGTAATTGAAGTACTTCAAGAATACCAAAACCCAATCAAGGTAACTATAGTGTCATCTTTAGGAGGTATGGCTGTGGTTAAAACAAAAAGGGTCAAATATAAACAGTTTTGTTATGTCCCAAAAGAAGAAAAAATGAATTAGAAGGGAAAAAATGGATTTTAAAAACGTAGTCAGTTAAAAACTGGAAGTTTGAACAGGGAAAATTTGACAATGTATCTCCAGCACACCCCTCCCTAAGTAACATTCCTCTATCTTTGTTCATTCCTTTCAATTTACAACTGGAGCCTGGGAGATGATAGTATCTGCAAGTGAGTCAGGAAGTCCGGGAAAGAAGAAGTAGGTTTATGAGGGATGCAAAAGGCAGGAATAGAAAGTAGCTTCATGTTTGGGATTTGTTGAGCTTGAGGTGACTGTGAGACATCCAGGCAGTCATCCAGTAGGTAATTGGAAAACTGGGTATGAAAGGTATGTATGAGAAAAATTATCTCCTGTGATTTAGTCTCTTCTGCTTTTTCTTCTACCCGCAAATGAATGGTATTGAAATAACATCATTACAGGTTAGCAGTACACATCGAATTTATTTTTTACTTAGACCCATTACTATAAAAACAAAAAAGTATTTATCTTCTCAGTACATAAGAAGTAAGATACATGACTTTGTTCATCCTTATGAGGACTTTCGATTTGTGACAAAAGGCAGACCCCAAGAGTGCATGCTGAAAAAATTGCTTTGAATAACCTTTCTTTTCTCTTCCTCAGCACAAGTCCTGCTCACAAATACTATCTTGCTATGGACCCTATGTCTGAATCACTTTATCTATCAGACACCAATACTCGAAAAGTCTACAAGTTGAAATCTCTTGTGGAAATAAAAGATCTGTCCAAGAATTTTGAAGTGGTGGCAGGAACAGGTGACCAATGCCTTCCCTTTGACCAAAGTCACTGTGGAGATGGCGGGAGAGCATCTGAAGCTTCACTGAACAGCCCTCGAGGTAAAAAAGAAAAAATCGTTTGGTCTTCTAATGATTTCATTTGACTTCTCAAAATCTTAAGACTGCTGCCATACTGTCATCCATCTATCTTACTATCCCTCTGACAGACGTCATCTCTGAAGTCTATCTCAGAAGATAGGCATAGTCAGGACTAATTTTAAGCCAATATGCATTAGTATAGACATAACATTAAAATATTGAAATGCTACTTTTCTGGTTGATAATTAATTATTGCCCAGAGCCCTCTGAGTATCTCGCTGACATCCCATCTTCTCCCCAAGGACTATTTTCTGGAAACTTTCAACAGTCCAACAACCAAAGGGCTAATTACTAGACCAGCAAAGAGCCTCAAGGATGCAGGCTTCTTCTACCACAGTTAATATTTAAATATGTTATTCATTTATTTTAATCTTTAAATTCAAACTCCACTCCACATCCTGTGGAGATATATATATATATTACAGTTGACATTCATTATTATTCAGTTACAGCTTCAGGTGTACACTGCAGTGATCATGCATGTACATTGTCCATGAAGTGGTCTCCCTAATAAGAAAAGTGTCCGTAGGATACCCTACAAAATCTTTACATTATTGATTATTTTCCCCAAACTGTCTTTTGTATCCTCGTGGCACTCCTGTGGTTACCAATTTGTGCTTTCTAATCCCATCACCTTCTCCCTCATCCCCACTCCCCTCCCATCTAGCAACCTTTGGTTTTTTCCTCTATGTCTCTGAGACTGTTTCTAATTAGTTTGGGATGTGGAGTACAGCATAGGAAGCTGAGTCAATGGAATTGTAACAGCTATATACAATGTCAGAGGGATAGTAGATTGGGAGAGGGGAGTTATCACTTTGTGAGGGGTGTAAATATCTAACTATTACATTGTTTTGTACACCTGAAACTAATTTAAAAAGTTTAAATATGTTGAATATATTGAATATCTCACAGATTCTAAACATCTCCGGCTTTTGCTTAACAACCACTCTTTAATAAACCTTTCCTCTACTAATTTATTTAAATCATTCTTGAAGCTATTTATTGGTTCAATTTATATCAACCCTAAAATAACAAATTCCTTTTTTTTCCTTCTGTGGGAACTTGACCTTACTTTTATTTGTCTTAAATTTACTTCTCAATCTTCAAAGGCCAACCCTCTATTCTCAATTCTGTTGCTGGGGATTTGTGAGTAAATCTGTGTTCTCCCAATCAGCTTCATGATTTTATAAATTTGGATCATATTCCCATCTTAGCTGAAGGATAGTCAACTTTTAAGTCTGTCATCATGTATCATTCACTCTGTCTCCTTAATCATTTAATCAGTCTTCTGTATTCCTTCTCCAAGATTGTGTGTGTGTGTGTGGGGGGGGGTGTGCACATGCATGCGTGCACACTTTTAATTTAGTAGGTTTTATGAAGTATTCATTTTAGTGGGTTTTAAGAAGTCTGTGTGATCGTAAAACTGTTACACAAATAAAATACATTTATTGCAGGAAAGTTAAAAAGAGGAGCATGTGAATATATTTTTAATTAAAGTCACCTATAATCTTACCACATAGAAAAACACTGTTAACATTTTAATGTATATCTGTCTAGACATTTTCTATGCATATCATATATTTTATGCTCTACTAATGGAATCCTCTTAGAGAATGTTGTTCTATAATCTGCTTTTCACACTTAATTTATTATGAACATCTTTCCATGCCCTAAAAATGTAGTGAGGTCAATGTGTTTAATTTGTTAGATGGTCACTTATTATTTCAAATATGGAGGTTACTCTTTAGCCATTTGACATTTGACATATGATGATTAAACTCCAACTATAATCGGAGTTTAAAGCTTTCCCTTTATTCAAGGCCATATTCAAGTCCTATCTATGTCTTTCATAAAGCCCCTTGGGCTAACCCCAGCCCATTAAATCTGAATTTCTTTAACAATATCTACATTACCCAATTAGCACTTGATTGCACTTTACTTTCTTTAACTTTCCAGTTCTTTCATGAATAGGTAAATTTTGTTGTTGTTGTTTTTACTACTCAAATAAGCTGCTTGAGATGAGAAACTATTGGGTTGTCAGAAAAGTCATGACGTATTTTTCTGTTTTTCGCTGCAAAAATGGATCATGACTTTTCTGACAACCCAATACATCTAATATTTCTTTTGAATCTCCCCCACCTCTCCAGGAATATCTTGCACATTGTGGGATTCACTACACATATTTATTGTGTAATTGATCAATTAGGTAACTCTTGCTTTAAGAGGATGACCTTTTTTACCTATAGGAACTTAAGTCCCCCAAGTACCATGGTAAAGTGTTTTGAAATGTTTCTTCTCTTGTGCCAGCTCTCATTTCTCACACATATTAGTCCACAATAAATATTCAATAAGCAAGTGCATAATTCAGGTGCAACATGGAATCGGCTCATCTTTCAAGGAAATGCATCAGACTGGGTCCCACCTTTAAACTGGTTTAGAACTCTTGCAAGTATTTTAAGGATTTCTGCATAAGAGATAGGGAGAAATCAAGCTTGTATTGTGCTTAATTGACACCCTTCTGAATTGATGCTAATATGAAAACCACTCCTCTCACCTATCACATTTAACCTGCCATATAAAGGATGAATATATCAGCTTTTCCAAATAAAACAAGTAATTGTGGCTTTTTTCTTTCTTGGAAAGCAACAGTAATACAGTCCTGATGAAAAGGATTTACATGAATTCTTGAAACATCAGTAATAAAGAGTGCCAAAATTTATGTACCTATTAAAGTTAATATTAAACTAAGTTTTTCTCATCGTAGCTGGTAGTACATTTTCCTTTGGCTTGGTTTACTCATCTTTCTATCCAAGAGTGGCCTTTACAATAATCTGGTACTCTTTCATCATCCCAATGTGGTCAGGACTTTAAGAACATCTGGCCCAGGCTTCAGACAGTTGAATGTCTAACCCATTTAAGACCACTTTCACATAACATTCTGAGCTGATGTTGGCAACATCTGCTCTGATCCAGTGAGTGAATAAGGATGTTTAAAGGAGGGGAATGTGTGGCTCACACTAAGTGTCCATCGCATCACCTTTAACCATGTTAACAGTACTTGAAAACCCTGTTGGTTATCTTCAAAAATCACTCAGCAGAACCTATGTCCAGACATCAGTCACGCTTAAAAATGCTGGTCAGAATACTTAGGTGCCTAGCCAGGGCACCTATCTCCATGCCGAATATAGACAGTAATCACCATTGGCAGTGAATCAGAAGTGAGATTCTCATTATATGGAATGCAATTTTATAGACTTATGTAGAAGGAAAAATCATGGAAGAAGTCATTAAAGCACAGAGTGCAAATTGAGAGTATTGCTAATTGCTAATTCTGCTTTTGAGGGTCTCCTGTAGGTTCTTTATCTCTCAAGAAAGCCCAATTTGTTTGTTTTTTGCTTTACAACTACCATGTACATCAGTTCCTTCCTCCTTCCACTTTAGAAGATAGCAAATATTTAATAGATTTCTTTAAGGAGAGGTTTGATTTTTTTCTCCCCACCTAGCAGCTAATAAAGAAAAGCTGTAGATCAGTAGTAAATGGAAATGTACATCTAGGGACTACCATTCCAAGGTTAGGAAAGAGAACTTGCCCTAAGACTTCAACAACCAACATATTGCAATTATAGACAGGCTCTCCAACATGTCCTTAATTATGCAAGTTAAGTCAAGTAAATGTTAATCTGCAAGACAGCTGATTTATTTTCTGAATCTATTCTAAAAATGGGATGAAATGAAATTTGGTTTTGATATCATTCATCCTAAAGTTAGGATTAAATTATCAAGTGTGATTAAAAACCAGTCAGCAAAAAGTAAAAGTTCAGAAACCATGGGATTTTTTTTAAATGGCAGCAAATTGAGTTAGGGAGCCTAGACTTTCTTGTTCAATCCATGTAATGCCAGTGTTTCTTTGAATGACCTTGTGTAAGTCACTGTACCTCACTGTTGTTTCATTTTCCTGAACACTAAAATAGATTTAATGATGCCATTGACTAGTTTTGTTACATTGGGCTAGTCATTTAAACACTGGGTCTTGAGATTCCTCAGCTACAAACTGAAAGGTCTGGGATTATTTCCCTCTCAGTATTAATGTATTAAAATAACCAGAGCTATAACTTACTGAGGGTCTACTGTGCTAGATATTTTATGCACAGTATCTCTAATCTACACAACAATGCACAAAGTAAATAGTATTATCCCCATTGTATAGATGAGGAAACAAAAACTCAGATAGGTTAAGAAATTTACTCAGGGTCATACAGTTTACAGGTAACACCGGAATTCAAACCAAGACTGCCTGACTACAAAAATTATGATGCAAAAAAAAAGTGGGGGGTATGGGCCTCGGTGGCCTCCACTATACCACACTGCCTGCCCTTCAGCTAAAATCCATAATCTCTGTTGACTTCTCCAGGAGGGTAGGAAATGGTTGGAAAATGCTTTTCAATGTAATGACATGTATTCAATGGGAACAAAACAGTTTTATTTGCAAGATAAATGACTTTTAGTCTAGTTTTCTTTTTCTATTAAATGATTCGTCTGATTTTTCTGACATGGTAGTGTACCCATAGTGCACGACATAGCATTTACATAGTCTGTAAATGTAATCATTCAAATAAATCTACAGGAAAACTTGTCACATGTCTTTGAAAGATTCTACAATTAGGAACTTCAGCAACTTTTTCTTAAGGGATGGAGGCAGGAAACCTTAACTTCATTAAATTTCTTGACTGCACGTGGTAACTACGAATTTTGTTGAAAGGAAAAATGGAAGTGTCCCTAAATAGAACTTCATGTAAGATAGCCCCCGGGTATATTTCTGGGAAAAAGTTTTTATCTGATCAAATTTTACACACTTTGATTGGAATCCCAATTTTACTCATCAGAACTTCAATGTAATGGGACAAGGAAAAAAAGTTTAGCAAAGAGTTTGATGGTGTGCCAATCCCTGGCATTGTATGTGA